AGGCTGGTCCATTGCCAGTCTCACCTGCCTTGGAATCTGCGAGCCGGCTCTCTCAGGGTACGTCTGCACCGCACCTGTATTTCAGAATGAGCGATTCCAGGAGAAATACTCAGAAATAGCTTGTTTTGAAATAGCACGTCTACACTGCATGGAAGCCTCAAAGTGAGTCCCAGGCAGGTTCCCTAATGTGGATGCGCTGCCTTGATTTAGAGCCCCAGGAGGCCCTAGAGCAGTGTTTCTTAAACTTTCTAAGACTGAGGAACACCCAAGGATTTTATTTTATTTTATTTTTATTTTTTTGCTCAACAAAAAAAAAGGGGGGGGGGAGTTATTGAGGGGGAAAAAAAGTTTCCTGCCCCTCTAAGTTTGGCCATTTTGCACTCTGTTGTTCTCCAAGGCACACCTCCAACTGCCTTGGCGCACACCGGTGTACCGTGGAACACAGTTTAAGAAATGCTGCACTAGAGAGTAATTACTTTGAGTGGCCCTGGGGAGGCGCTATTTCAGAATAGCAGCAGGGGAGTGTCCACAGTACATTGCTTGTGAAATGAGGTTTATAGATGTTGGAATAAGCCATCCATTATTTTGAAATAAAATTACTGTGTAGACACTCGCATTATTTCAAGATAACATCAGTTATTTTGAAATAACTGTGCTGTGTAGATGCACCCTAGGAGATTGTGGTGCTTCTTGGCATGAAGTGGGAAGACCTGGGCTAGGCAGAGGGTCAGCACTGAGTTGCCTGTAAGCAAGCATAGAAATGTCTTGTTTGGTCTTGGCTGGGGATGTAAAGAATTAGTTGCTGCTCCCCCCCCCTCCCCTCCTTATCAGATAGAGGCAGCGAGGGGGAGAGAAAAGAGGAGGGGTACTTAAAAGCAGCAGTGCCACATGGAGCCTGGGGTCAGCTGGGGACTCCAGGCTCCATGTGGTGCTGCCCTTTCAAAATGCCTCCCCAGGCTCCACATGGCATTTCAAAGTGGCTTGGAGCCCAGGATCAGTTGGGGACTCCCCAGCTGACCCTGAGCCCAGTGGGGTGCTGCTGCTTTGAAATGCTGTGCAGAACCCTGGATTAGCTGGGGACTACCCCGGGTTCTGCATGGCATTTTGAAGCAGCAGCACCTCTTGGAGCCCAGGATCAGCTGGGAACTCCCCAACTGACCCCAGGCTCCGTCCAGTATGCCATCCTTGAATTGTGCAAGAGTTGCCAGCGGCATGGAGGAAGCACAGCATGGAGCATGAGTCCCCTGTTAACCCCAGGCTCCATGCGGATGCTTCCTCTTTGAAATGTGCAAGAGCCCCCACTGGTGACTTTGTTCATTTCAAAGCAGAAGTGCCCCTATGGAGTCAGTGGGACTTCCTGCTGGGCTGTGTGTGTCATACCAACTTTGAAATGCCCAGGGCCCTGGGGGCTCTTGTATATTTCAAAGGTGGAACGTGGAAGTGCTTATCAACTAGTAATCAACTCAGCTAATAAATTAATCACTAGTTAACATCCTAAGTCTTGGCTGGCTGTGCCTGCTCCACTTGGCTACTTCAACTCCT